CCCCTCGGCCGGCATCCCGCCCCCAGCACAGAGCCCCCGGCCCGGCATCCCGCCCCCCAGCACGGCCCCCCGGCCGGCCCCCCCCGGGCGCTACCCGCGAAGAGGAGGGTGAAGATGATGCTGAGCTGGTAGACGCCGTGGCCTAGGATGTTCTTCATCATGGTGCGGGAGATGAGGGGCTTGTTGCGCCCGTAGGGCTTGCGGAGCAGCAGCGACTCGTTGGGCGGCTCGGTGGCCAGCGCCAGGGAGGCGAACGTGTCCATGATGAGATTGACCCACAGCATCTGCACCGCCTTGAGCGGGGAGTCCTGGGGGGAGGCGGGGGCTGGGTCAGCGCACGGAGGGGGCGGGGTCAGTGTGTGGGGGTGGGGTCAGCGCACGGAGGGGGTGGGGCCAATGTGCATGGGGCGGGGTCAGCACCCAGGGGTGGGGTCAGCGCCCAGGGGCGGGGCCAGCACATGAAGGGGTGGGGCCAGCACCCAGGAGTGGGGGTCAGTGCACAGGGGGCGGGGCCAGCGCCCAGGGGGCGGGGCAAGCACATGGAGGGGCGGGGCATCTCTCCGTCCACGCCACCCTCCATCCCTTCCTCCCCCCGCCCCCGCCCGCGCCCCACCTGGGTGATGCAGGCGCCGGTGAAGGCCACCACCACGGCCACCACGTTGACGGTGAGCTGGAACTGCAGGAACTTGGAGATGCTGTCGTACACGTTCCGGCCCCACATCACCGCCTTGACGATGCTGGAGAAGTTGTCGTCGGTCAGGATGATGTCCGAGGCCTCCTTGGCGACGTCGGTGCCCGCGATGCCCTGGGGGGGGGACGGCGGGGTCACGGGGGGGGCAGCGGGCCAGGCCCCCGCCCCAGCTCGGCCCCTCACACCCTCCCCAGACGGACGGGCAAGTGCACCAATGCATTGTGGGAAATCCCCTTTCTGGGGCGGGTGGGGGCAGTTTGGGGGCTTCAGACGCCGGACGGGCCCTGGAGCGCGTGGGGGGCTGGGCAGGTGGGGGGACTCGAAGGAGGCGTTGGGCTGGGGGGCGCCCGGGGGCCATCTCACCATAGCAAAGCCGACGTCGGCCTTCTTGAGCGCCGGCCCGTCGTTGGTGCCGTCCCCCGTCACGGCCACGACCTGGCGCTGCTCCCCGATGGTGCTGTCGATGATGCCTGTGGGGGTGGGGGGCTCAGTTGGAGGAGGGGGCCCCATAGCCCTCCCCCCTTCCTCTCCCCCCATGCCCCCCGCTCCCCCGCCAGCTCCCCACCCTGCATGGGCCCCACGAGCACCTCCTCCGCCATGACCCCATCTCTGCCCCCCATCCTCACCTAGTCCCCTCCCCCCATGCCCCCAAAGCCCCCTCCTCCCATGGTGCCAACACCTCAGCCCATCCCCCCCATGCCTGCCTGGAGCCGGGGGGGTCTGTACCTTTCACCAGGGTGTGTTTGTCGGTGGGGGACGACCGGGCCAGGACCCTCAGCTTGGGCCAGATCTTATCCAGTCGCTCCTGCTCGATCTGGGGGGGAGGGGGAACAGCTGGAGTCAGCAGCTCATGGTGGGGGACCACCCCCCCAAACCTGGGGCAACCCCCAACCCCAAAGTATGAACCCTCCCCACTGGAGCTAGGGCCGCAGCAGTGGGGCCATTATCCCCGTTGGCGTGGCCAGGGGCCGGCGGCAGCAGTGGTACCGTTATCCCCCGTGGGGCCGGCGGCGGCGGTAGTAGGGCCGTTATCCCCGTACCTCTCCCTTCTCGTTGCGGATACGCCGGTTGAACTCCTTCCCCTCCAGACACAGGAAGTCCTCCCCGGGCTGGAGGATCCCACACTTGGCGGCGATGGCCCGGGCCGTGTTGATGTTGTCACCCGTCACCATCCGGACGGTGATCCCGGCCTTCTGGCATTTGCGGATGGCCTCGGGAACCTGGGGGGGGGAGGGGGGAGGACAGCGGGACCAGATGGAAACCAGGAGTCCTGACACCTCTCTAACCCCCACTCCCCTCCCAGAGCCCGGGAGAGAACCCAGGAGTCCTGGCTCCCAGCCCCCCCTGCTCTAACCACCAGACCCCACTCCCCTCCCAGAGCCAGGAGAGAACCCAGGAGTCCTGGCTCCCAGCCCCCCCTGCTCTAACCACCAGACCCCACTCCCC